TTAACAAATGAAAAACTGACAGATGAAGTCAAAACTTTTAGTACTACTCTAAATGGAATGATACTAGTTAGGTTGATGGCTGGTAATTGCTTCATGTTGGCTTCATGCATCAATATGCACATCGCCTTCAAGTAGTGAAGAACCAAGCAAATGATTGCCTCTAAATGCACATCATTGGGGAAAAACCCAATATTCTAAATGCACATCATTGGGGAAAAACCCAATATTCTAAATGCACACCAAGCAAATGATATTCCTCTTCACTAGGAAGTGAGAAGTCTTAGATTAAAATCTCGTGGATGGCAAATTCAATACCAAATTAGGTTGCCTAATGTGTAGCTTAGCCGAACTCCCTCTCATCTTTAGTGTTAAAATATTGATGTACTCAAAAATAAAAATGTACCTAAAACCCGCAAATTTTTTAGTGTCATCCCTAATTAGTCTCAACCTTTTTAAACATTCTAAACAAGTATCCAACTTATTGAAAGTGTCACACACGTTAAGCTCCTATTAAAAATATGTTAAATTAACTTGGGTTACTTTGTCTCCAAAATCAATAGGAGATCATGGAAGCATAGCCTCTATCAACTAACAGTCACCACCACCTCCATCAAATCATCGCCTCCAAATCTAACACAAAACCACCAACTCCACCCTAGAAGAAGCCATGGAGGTTGTTGAAATAGTATAATCTGCCATGATGCGGTCACCACTATCTTCAACCCCCATAAAGAAGAATTGGAAGTTTTAGGAGTCAAGAATTGGCGAATGAGGAAATCACATGTAGAAACAAGCTTCTTGAAACCCTATTTGAATTTTAACCCTCTTTTTTGTTAAGAGATTACTCTCTTGATGCAATTTCAATTTGGGTCCATTTTCGAGTTAATTAAGTACCAGTTTGATTGATTCCATATTATATAATCTATGTTTGAAATTTAGATTTTGAAGTTTTGAATATACTTTGTCAAAAAATTAAATTGGAACTTTAGATATTTTCAATTGGTTGGATACTTATTTAAAATATTAAAAAATATCGAGACCAATTTAAAGTAACACTAAAGGGTTGAAGGTTTTAGTTACTTAACCCAAATAAAATGATTAGTAATTTTGATCAATTAACAGACTTCCAGTGACCCAGTTAATAATAGTTGAGCCAACCCAAAGTTAATTTGTCTGTATATATTGATTTAGTTTAACAATGACCCCAGCTAGTGCTGTGTATGCATATTCCTTCGCTTTTCCTTTTAAAATATATTTGATGTCGGCTGCTCAAGAACACGGGCAGTGGCACGCCAGCAAAATAACCCTTAAAAAAACATCACCACCTTAATATTACTTAATCAGATAGCAATAGAATAATATTGCTCTAGATTTTTATTTTTTAAATACCTTTTCAAGAATGTTAGGCCAAGACTGCAAGACGGGAAGAAGGGCATAAAATGTGTACGCATATTAAAACAAAGGGTATATACGTGTAGAGATCCATAAAAATCGATTAATTAAATTGGATTCCAAGATGTACCCTTCCAATTTCCATTGTTTCAGCACCCCCACCACCACATTGGTTTCCCAAATCCGGTAGATACAACGTACTTCCTTCAGTAATAATAATGGTAACAATAACTATAATATGATTGAATTGCATGAAATAATGCAGTATCTTCGAAGTGTCGGTGTTGCACAGCCCATTTTCCACACACCACACACTAGTGGTTTGCTTTTGTATGCATTCCATGCGCAAGGTGTTACACTGTAATTTGTATAATATTGTGCCTGCGAATGCCATATGCAACATGTCACATCAAATTTTGAATAAAAAGATCATGAATAATGTCAGTTAAATATTTGAATAGCTATTCTCAATATTGTCAATTACTTTTATGCATTTTGTGCGCAAGATGCCACTCTGCAATTCATATAATCTTATGCCACATATAACATGTCACATGACCTTTGGCTTCCTCTTGGTTGAGAATGAGATGATATAATAATGAGCTCGGATGAGATTTACATCAAATCTTGAATAAAGAGATCGTTAATAATGTCAGTTGAATTCTCAAACGACTACTCTCAACATTGTCAATTAGTTTTATAGTGAAATCTAAACTTTCTTCACTTTTTATGCATGTTATTTTATGCTTATATAGTTTGAAAACCTAACACTTTATCCACTAGGAGTTTGAAACACATGCAGAGAGATTTGTAAATGACTCATTGAAAGTAGTCATTTACAAATCTCTTTCACGTGTATTTTGTAATGCTTATATTTCTATTTCTTTATTGCTATTCTTAAACCGCTTGAATTCTGAAAGTCCATCACCGAAACATACCCTAATCATGTAGAGATTATAACTGTAGTTGTTTGTTTAGTTCAGGGATTAGAGATATGGGAATGTGTGTATAATTTAGGTTTTAAACTCTACCGACTTGTTTATTACTTGGCAGGCGAAATAGACATGAAAAAGGGTTAGAGATATATGAGTTGCATGTGTTTTACATTTTAACTGTAGGCGGGTTTTCGTTGTCTCATTATATGATATGTATAAGCAAGTCGGTGATCTCATTAAGTGTAAATTTTGTTCTTTTGAGGTTGATGTGGTAAATTCCACACCAATATATCAAAGGTGAGCTAGTTGAATTTGTGAATCCACTGTTAATGATACTTTGAGATTATGAGAAAATTGGAGTTGCGATGTCTTTCTTTGCAATTACCATACAGAAAATATAGCGCTTTTTATCCTAAATTTAATTGCTTTAGAACATTCATCTCTCATGAATTTGCAGCATTTGATACATTAGTTAATATGAATGTTCTTCCTCTTTCAACTCTTTCGAAGGGTTTTTTGCTTTCATTCAAGTACCTCTTCTTGATGATAACAATTTATATGTCACGATACACTATTATGTGTCACTTTATACTAATAATGCAACGATATGTGAAAAAAAATTAACATGTATATTTGTATTATTGACGGAAAGCCATACAAGTCATTCTCCTTAATGTTATATATTCTTTCATATCATTATAACTTTTCATCTTTCACAAATAAAATGTCATTTTCTTAACGTAAAAAGAAAAGATAAAATCACTTTCGAGAATATACTTACTAGTTACTACTCGTTCATACCCAAAGTTTGACTCTCACCCTGTTCATCCTTGAATCAAAGCACTTTCTGATTTTTTTTACACGAGTATCCATCGAATTTGGCTTTAGTTTAAATGAAAATTAATAAAAATAATTTGAAATTTTTGAGTTTTAATAATAAGGATAAAATAAAAAGTAAAATAAATGGTACTAAGAATAATTTTTTATTGTAAAAATATGATTTTTCGATAACATAAATAATACCAAGAATTTTTCGTTAACGAATATTCTCTTATTTTAAAGTTAATATCAATTTAGATATATGATTAAAAAAACACATTTTCGTGATTTGGGTAATTCTCTTTCTTCTAGGTCAAGCTATGATGGTGGTGTTGTACGAGGCTATGTGCGATATTCCAATTACAGTCGTTGTCAATGTGTCATGGTATATTGGTATTAGTGCATGCCTGCATGGTTCCATTGCAAAAAGGGTACGACCTGACACACCGCTTATGTTGACCTACGCCCTCAAATCACGGGAGCCTTTATCTGCAAACCTGGTTGAATTTTCCACTCTTCTCGCGACAATTTATCAAATAAAATAGGGACCTTTTTTGACCTATCGCAACAATTTATCAATTTGAAGGATATCAAATAATATAAATTAAGAGATATAAAAGAAGTAAAAAGAAATGTGTGAATAGTACGTCCTATAAAATAAACACTTAATATTTCAAATGCAAAAATACGTTGGACAATGACATGCATCTTGAACTTTTTTCCGCAACATGTTGAAACAAGGAAAAGGAGAATATAAGAAAAATATACGGCCGAAATTTATAATCCTATGTTCATATGAATATTTGGTGTACTACATAGATATATAAAATTTAGTATAGAACGAAAGAGTACATTGACACGTCGATGAGATTTCCATAGTGGTCTTGCGTCTGTTAGCGTATTATTCAAGGTTATGAACAAGAATACTCAAATCTATACTACAATATGACAATATATTCTAGGTATAAGCCACATTAACAAATATGGAACTAAATGAGAAAATTGCTCCCACCAGACTTCCACGACGAAAGTTTTAGGGCCGACTCAACATAAAGTGTAATACAAGGTTCAAGATGTGCCTTGACTCTAAGAAAGGGAAATTAGAGTTTAGATTCATATCTTTAGAAAACTTCCTATTATGATTTTGAGATCTGGATTAAGACAAAATTTAGTTAAGCAAACCTAATGCAAACTTGTCAAGAAGAATCTCTCCTAAATCTTGAGATATTCGCAAATAAGGTTCATAACCAGTGATCATTTGGACGTAATAGCATGTCAATTGGTATTGTCGCTCCTTAGTAGACCCGAGATCATTTGCCTACTCATATTGTACACCTGTAGACAGATGCCAACAACTTCTGAGTGAGCATGTCGATTGATGTCAATAGTTTTTGAGCGAGTATGTCAACAAATACAAACATGCCAAAGTGAATCTATCAACAAATGCCCCTAGCAACACATACAAAGACATGAGACTAGCAGCTACCCTGCCTAATGTCCATACAAGCAATTCATCCTAGCAATTGAAAGACATATTTGAAGAACATCTCAAATTTTCAAAAAGTAACACCCAACTCTTCCATGGAGAATGTCTTGTTCATGATTAGACTTGGACACCTGCCTATTCCTAATTAACAAAGTTTTGAGAGTTCTCACATCCTCCCAACTTCCCCTTCAACCGTAGCATTAACTGTGTGCAGAGTATAATCCCAACATATAGACCACACAGTAATTAAATTTTAACCACAACAAAACAAAACCAAAGAGTGGACACAAACACAAAACAGTCCCAGCGTTCCACTAGTGGAAGTAGTAGCAACTACCGACTAGCAAGCAAACATCTCACTAAAACAGCAGTCCAACTCCAAGTAAGAATCTTAGCTGGATGCAGCTGCCCTCACTTGCCACCACCACCAACAGACCATTTCCCATTTCTATAACCCCTTTTCACTCTCAAAATACAACTTTTTCACACTTTCCCTTTCTCTCTCCTCCCTTTCTCTCTCTAGACTGACAAATTTCACTCACAAAAACACTGGGGACTCTGCAGCAACTCAATCTCCAAGCTCACCACAATGCCCACCTTCTTCATCTTCCTCCTGCTCTTCTTATCCTCTCCACTCACTGCATCTCCAAGGCCAAACTATAGAGTCCTACACCAGCCATTTCTGCCGCAGGAATCTTCTTCGCCGGCGCCCACTCAGCCACCATCTCCATCCCCGCCTTCCCCTCCTCCCAACCCAACTCCCCCGAAGTATCCATTTTCCAGTTCCAATTCTCCCCCTCCCAATTCCCCATTTTTCCCATCCAACCCTTCCCCTCCGCCTCCCCCTCCCGCCCCAGCCACCGCCTTCGCCTCATTCCCCGCCAACATCTCCTCCCTCATCGTCCCCCAGCCCACCAAAAACTCCAGCTCCCACAAGCTCCTCGGCCTCACTATCGCCGCCGTGCTCTCCGCCGCCGTCGTGGTGGCCGTAGCCGCATTCTTCCTCTACCGTCGCAGACGGCACAACAGCCGCAACTTCCCCGACGAGGATGAGGACGAGAAGTCGTATCTTAGATCCGAGCACAGCAACAGGCTGTTACAGGCGCCCAATCTCGGCCACTCCTACAGTGGGACCCACAAGCTCCGGACCGGCTCCTCCACCAGCTCCGAGTTCCTTTACCTGGGCACATTGGTCAATTCACGCTCACTTGAGGAGAGAGTCGACTCGGGCGGGAGTGTTGGTCGAAGCGCCGAATTAGAAACTCGGAAAGTCGACTCACCGGACCTCCAGCCGCTTCCGCCGCTTTCTCGGCAGATCTCGAGGCTGAGCCGTTGCAAGAATGCCGAACTGGGTTCGACTCAGGACCGAGACGATGAGGAAGAGGAAGAGGAAGAAGAGTTCTATTCCCCCAGAGGGTCTTCGGGCGATCGCGAGAGCTCCAACGAAAACGGATCCGGGTCCAGGAGAATGTTGGCGGCGGTAGCGGGTGGAGTATTTGACCGAAGAAGCAGCGAAACCACGTCGTGTTCTTGCTCGTCTTCCGAATTGGGTTCACCGCCTCGATCACACTCTATCAGTCTCTCGCCTCCGGTGACTTTGAGTCCCAACAGAAGACCAGAAGAGCCCAAACTGCCGGAGCCCTCAGCCACGCGTTATACGACGCCGTTTGGGGACGTCAATGTACGGTCTCCGTCGTTGACTCCACTATCTTCGCCGGAGAGAGCTGCTGACGAATACCCATCTGCATCGGACCGAAACGGAAGGTCTCCGTCGATGTCCTCGTTATCTTCGTCGCCGGAGAAAGGATTGGAGAAGACCCCAGATGCACCGCTGAAAGTTTCGGTAGTTTCGGATCAAAGTTCGCCGATTTCTTCACCGGAGAGAGGTTTCGGAAACAACCCACATGCATCATCGAAAGTTTCGGTAGTTACGGATCAAAGTTCGCTGATTTCGTCACCGGAGAGACATTTCGGAATCCATCCAGATGCATTATCGAAAGTTTCGGTGGTTTCGGGTCAGAGTTCTCCTATTTCTTCACCGGAATTAAATTTCGGAAACAACACAGATGGGTTAACGAAAGTTACGGCCTTTCCGGATCGGAATGATCAGTCCCCTTCCCCATTATCACATTGTTCATCGTCACCGGAGAGAGAATCAGACGGTTCTGATTCAAAAGCCAGGTCGTTTTCACCTTCTATGTCACCACTGAGAGGTTTGGAGAACTCAGCTGCCTCACCAAGAATTTCAAATGCTTCGGATCGAGCATTTATTCATTTGGATCCCAAAATGCAGTCTCTTTCATCATCTTCATCGTCTTCGTTGTCAAATTCGCCGGAGAGAGCGTTTAGTGTTGGTTTAAAGCAGCCTCTTTCGGTTCCTCCGCCGCCACCGCCAATGCCTCCTTCACTGAGACTCTGGGAGACTCCAAGTCCTAGAACACCAGTTGGCCAAGTGATCTCTAGGCCTCCAGCTCTCATACCTCCTTCAAGACCTTTTGTGATTCAAAACCCGGGAAAGGTCCCTGTTTCGCCGGTGGAGTTGCCACCAAGTTCTACGCCGTTGGAGCCGATTGAGGAGACTCCGAAACCCAAGTTGAAGCCATTGCATTGGGATAAAGTTAGAGCAAGCTCCGACCGCGAAATGGTGTGGGATCAGCTTAGATCAAGCTCTTTCAAGTAAGATGTTACTCATTTGCATTTACTTGCTTTACTTGTTATGGTAGACTTATAAATTATGTAGTAGGTTGGTATACTGTGTTGCTCTACTAAATTAGTGGAATTATTGGTTGGTTGCAGATTGAATGAAGAAATGATAGAGACATTGTTTGTTGTAAAAACACCGAACCCGAATCCAAAAGAAACAGCAGTTCTTCCCTCACTGAACCAAGAGAACAGAGTGCTTGATCCTAAAAAGTCGCAAAATATTGCAATCTCGCTAAGGGCACTCAATGTGACCATAGAGGAAGTTTGCGAAGCTTTATTAGAAGGTAAAATTCGTTAAATATTGGCTATATCTTCCTTTACTGCAAAAATTGTTTAACGTTGGTGGTAATATCTTGTATGCTTTTGGTTATAACGTGAACATGCCGTTTAGTTAAATTGAGAATTTAAATTTGGTTGGTATGGGAAATATTTGAATCCTCATGAAACCAACTTTACGTAAGTTCATAACAAGATTCCAAATATATAGTTATTACAAGCTAATAAATTGACTGCAACTGGAATGGTTTGTGATAATTTTTGTGTGATAGTGAATTCATGGTGTTTGTTGGTATTGGTTATGAATGCAGGAAACTCGGATGCTCTTGGAACTGAATTACTTGAAAGTCTAATGAAGATGGCTCCAACCAAAGAAGAAGAACGTAAGCTGAAGGAATACAAAGACGACTCACCAGTTAAGCTTGGTCCTGCCGAGAGATTTTTGAAAGAGCTGCTTGACGTTCCTTTTGCATTTAGAAGGATTGATGCAATGCTTTACGTGACTAATTTTGAGTCTGAGATCGAGTACCTTAAAAAATCGTTTGAAACTCTGGAGGTAAATCACCCCATTCCTTTCTCCTTTTAACATGTGATGTTAGATTCGTTTTTGTTTGCTTATGCTAAGATGGTAACATTAAGCAAACGCTTCCATCAAGATGGAATATACCAAGGCACATAAAACATTAATTAGTAAATCAAATGTGTTTGAATTAACATGGATATTTCTATCCATAGGGAAATGATAGTTTTCCATCAGGCGTTATCTCATTGGAATTTCCTTTATTTAGGCTGCCTGTGAAGAATTGAGAAACAGCAGGATGTTCTTGAAGCTTCTGGAAGCTGTTCTAAAGACTGGAAACCGGATGAATGTTGGGACAAACCGTGGTGATGCCCATGCCTTCAAACTGGACACACTCCTCAAGCTGGTTGACGTCAAGGGGGCAGATGGGAAAACAACACTCCTGCATTTTGTCGTACAAGAAATCATAAGAACAGAAGGTGCTCGTCTCACCGGTGGCAATCAAACTTCAAACCCAACTTTGAGTGATGATGTCAAGTGCAGGAGGCTTGGCCTGCAAGTTGTTTCAGCTCTCAGTTCAGACCTCAGTAATGTGAAGAAAGCTGCTGCCATGGATTTTGATGTGCTTAGCAGTGATGTTTCCAAGCTTTCTAAAGGAATTAGCAACATCGCAGAGGTTGTGCAATTGAATGAGACAACAGTATCAGATGACAGCAGGCGGAAATTCTCAGAGTCAATGAACATGTTCATGAAATTGGCTGAAGAGGAGATTATAAGACTTCAAGCTCAAGAAAGTGTTGCACTGTCCCTGGTGAAGGAGATTACAGAGTACTTCCATGGAAACTCCGCTAGGGAAGAAGCTCACCCGTTTAGAATCTTCACGGTGGTCAGAGACTTTCTTACAGTTCTTGATCGGGTATGCAAGGAAGTTGGTATGATAAATGAGCGAACACAAGTTAGTACCGCCCACAAATTTCCAGTTCCGGTAAATCCAATGCTACCACAAATAGTTCCAGTAAATCCAATGCTGCCACAAGTAGTTCCAGTAAATCCAATGCCACCACAAGTACTTCCTGGAATTCATGGGTTAAGGCGGTACAGTTCGTCCGATGATGAGAGCACAGCTCCGTAGTTTCTGCAGCCCATTTCAGGATGACTTTTTGGTTCGATTTGGTAAAACCGCCTGAAGTAGGCGGTTTGAACAGCTTGCAACTGCATGCCAGGTTTATGTTATATATAGCTTCAGGTTCCCCCCCCCCACCCCCCAAATTGTGTACTTGTAAAAATTCATGTAAGCGATTTTGCGTTCTATAGATTATATACAGAGGAGGAGATTTTATCTGGGAAGAATAAGTTGTAATTCAGACTAGATAGTTTCTGGGAAGATCAGTCATGCAGCTTATTCTTGACTGTAGACAGTTTATGTAAATGTTCTGAATTGTATCAAACCACTAATTTACTCTCTATAACTCTTTTACAGTTATTTATCAGTTTGCCCCTGAACTTGTATTAAGTTGCCAATATCTCCTTGAACTTAAATTTTAGCCGATTACTCCGTTGAACTTTTATAATTAGTCAATTTCTCCTTGAACTTTAGCTTTAATCGATTACCCCTAAAATTTATAAATATCCAATCCCCCCATTAGATTAAAAAAATTTCACTTTTTTTGCCTCCATACAGTTCAAAATTGATGAAAACTTTTAAAGTGATAAAATCTAGCATCATTGAGGATATTTGTTATTTATAAAAGTTGAGAGAGGTAATTGGTTAAAATTAAAGTTCAAGGGAAAAACTAATTAATTGTAAAAGTTTAGGAAGGTAATCGACCAAAATTAATGTTTAGTGAAAAAATTGACAGCTCTGGATAAATTAAAATAACAAATCGACAAATATGCGCACTCTTTTATCTCCAATTATTCTTTATAATTTATTCTTAGCACTAGTTGTGTTTGATTCTTAGTCAACTTGATTTTCAAATACAATAATTTTTTGTAATTTTTTATCCTTTGTTACTATTTTTTTTTGCCAACAGGATCCTCTTTGGATTCTTTTGGTGATAATTTTAGAGATTCGTGAATCGTGTTCGTTCATCGTATATCGTGTGATCAGTTTTTGTTATGTACTGTTTATGTTTATTTTTAAATAAAAATATTTAAAATAATTTTTAACCGTACGATGTATGATGAACGGACACGATGAACTAATTCTCAGGATCCTCACAAATATAGAAAGCTCGTTTTGGCCTGACTCGTCCTAGAAAATTTTTATGTAAATATTTTCGGGTTATTGCAACTAAAGACACCATTTCAAGTATACTATTGCAACGTTTTAAAGACAAGGGAGTCACTGAAAACTTTAAAGGGGTAAAATATACTTTGCCCTAATTACTTATTGAAGCATAAGGTCGTCTCCTCTGGAATAGGATCCTATGATCTTATTTGTGGGGATTCAATTAATCGTGTTCGTTCATTGTATATCGTACGGCTAAAAATTATTTTAATTTTTTTATTTAAAATTAAATATAAACAGTATATGAGGAAAATTAATCACACGATGTACGATGAACAAACATTATTGATTGATCTTCCGGATTCCTACAAAGAGGATCCTTGTCCCTCCCCTCTTGGTGTAAAATCAATGAAGAGGTCGTTTTCAACTAAGGCCTACTTCACATGTATCCATCATGCTCATGCATGTGTGAAGGAAACATATTCTGCTGCTTACTGGAAAATTGAAAAAATGAAGGAAAAATGACTAGTTTTTTTAGGGAAAGTGACCTTTGGGGTCCTGCCGCTGCCTCCGTTGAAATATGTAATCTCTTTTCATGTAAAGAAACAAACATCTTTATAACTGGACCCAAGTTTATACTTTTTTATGGTATATACTCTTCTTTAACCACCCAAAGTAATTAAAAGGACAGCAAGGATAAATTCCAAATTTATCTCTTTATTTGTTTGCTAGAAAAATTTCTAATTTCTTTACATAAAAAGGAAAAAAATTTGAGTTGCCGAGTACCGAATGCATGAAAAATAAACTACAGAGCAAAATAAGTAAGCAAGAATACCAAAACGACTACAAACTGAAGACTACATTGTGTGTGACTTCTTAAATTGCAACATTTATAGAGACATAAATCTAAGAAATCCTAATGTGCAAAATATAAAAAAATACCATAATACAAAATTAAATCTCTAATTAATTTTATAAATAAACTAATAAATTCCAATGCCCCCCTTCTCTTCAATTAAACTTATGATGGTATACGACGTGAGTTTGCCAACAATTAGATACAAATGCAGGCTCCATTAAGCAGACATGCAGGTTGGCTGGTTGATTCTAATTGACTGACCGGTTTGGTGATTCTGACTGATTGACTAGCTGATGTTGACGCTTTTGTTTCTATTTTTTTGTTCTTCAATGTCAAAACCCTACCTACTACTAGACGAAGGCAGATTGTTTACCCTCCCATGTCCTTCCTATCCCCTTCTACATTGTGCGGTCACGGTTAAGCCACGTTAACATTTTGTATTGATTTTTTATAGAGATAATAAGATATGTTGATGTGGCTTAACCGTGACCGCACAAATAGAAGGGGATGGGAAGAGCATGATAAAAGGAGGGCAGACAATCTGCCTCCCTACTAGACAGAGAGACATAAAAAAAAAACAATGACGAACTGATACTCAGCAACAAACGAACAAATTGACACCCACCTTGAGCAGATTAAATGTCGAAGGATCAAACTTTCCTTGAACTAAGTTGAAAATTAGAGTACCAAATGGACAAACAAACAAACTATGGAACTATGAATGCCAAAACGACTACAAACTAAAAACTACGATGTGCTTGACTTCTCAAACTATATTACAAGCAATATTTATAGAGACCTAAACCCAAGAAACCCTACAGCAACAACAACAGCAACCAAGCCTTATCCAACTAAGCGAGGTCGGCTATATAATCTTAGAACGCTATTGCACTCAGTTTTGCTCCAAGCTTTCTGTTAGCTCTAAGTACTTCATATCTTTTCTTATAGTATATTTCAAAGTCTTTTTAGGTCTTCCTCTAACCCTTTTACCATGAGCCTCCGTCTCATAGTCGCATTTTCTAACCGCAACATCAGTAGGTCTTTGGTTCACGTGTCCAAACCATCTTAATGATTTTCTCTCATCTTATCTTCAATTGTGACCACTACTAATTTACCTTGGGTATCCTCGTTCGTAATCCTTTCTTGTGTGCTCACACATCCAACAAAGGATTCTCATCGTCGCTACCCTTATTTTTTCCATGTGTTACTTCTTGATTGCCCAACATTTCGTGCCATAAAGCATTGTTGGCTTTATTATCGTCCTATAGCTTTAGTGGCATACGACGATCACTCAACACACTTAATGCACTCTTCCACTTTATCCATCCAACTTGTATTTGGTTGAGATTGTGAACACGGAAAATTCTTGAAACGAAAGAGACAAGAACAACATGCACAAACAAATATTTGGTTTGATGATTTTGGGTTACAATCTCTCTCAAATTTGATCTTCTGATTCGATCTCCGTAAGGTGTTGATTTGTGGATGTTTCGTTGATCCAAGGGCCGTCAAGGCTTGATCTTGGATGAACTGTTGGAAGTTTCTTCAAAGGGCCGTGGGCTTGATCTTTGAAGGTGGATTTGAGCGGATCTTCAAGGAACCGTTGGGGCTTGATCTTGAGGATGAGTGTTTCTTCAAGGGCCGTTAAGGCTTTGATCTTGAATAACGGTGATGAACGGATCTTCAAGGGCTTTTGGGCTTGATCTTGAAGAACGGTTGGATGTATGGATTTGTCGACATTGTTGATCCAAAGGGCCATTGGGGCTTGATCTTGGATGAACAGATGATGAACGAAGAACGAAGAACACTTTCTTCAAGGGCCGTCGGAGTTTGATCTTGAATTTGGTGGAAGTTCTTCACGGGGCCGTCGGGGCTTGATCTTGAAGGTGGATGATTGTTGATCCAAGGGGCCGTCGGGGCTTGATCTTGGAAGAATGATGAACGAAGAATGAAGAACACTTTCTTCAAGGGCCGTCGGGGCTTGATCTTGAAGAAGGATGATTGTTGATCCAAGGGGCCGTCGGGGCTTGATCTTGGAAGAATGATGAACGAAGAACGAAGAACGAAGAACACTTTCTTCAAGGGCCGTCGGGGCTTGATCTTGAAGGTGGATGATTGTTGATCGAAAAGGGCTTTCTTGATCTTTCGGGAATTGCTTGAGAGCTTCGGAGTTTCAGAGCTTCAGAGCTTCAAGGTGTAATATGAATTCCTCCTCCCAAATGAATGAATTAGCCTTCTATTTATAGAAATTTCCAAGGCCTAATTTTGAATATAATATTCCAGATGAAATAAGTCGTTTCTGCCAGGTGTTGACACGTGTCCTGTTTGATGACTTTTCCAATTTATTTCGATTTTTTGTTTAGACACACGCTACGTGTAAAATTTATGTAATACATGAGCGTTGAAACTTTGATTTATCGGTCAACATTTATTTACCGAAATTTCGATGTCTACAAATGCCCCCACTTCAAGGCGCGTCGTATACATGTGCTTGTCACGTGTAGGAGATGCGTTTTGAAGTCCCTTAATGTAGATGTCGATCCAAGGGCCGTCGAGGCTTGATCTTGAATTGGGCTGGAGATTTCTTCAAGGGCCGTTGAGGCTTGATCTTGAATTGGGCTTGAGATTTCTTCAAGGGCCGTTGAGGCTTGTTCTTGAATTTTTGTTTGAAATTTCTTCAAGTGCCGTTGAGGCTTGTTCTTGAACTTTTGTTTGAAATTTCTTCAAGGGCCGTCGAGGCTTGATCTTGAAGGTTGAAATTGGACCACAAGGAGCTTCATGTGGTAGATGATCCTTGGCTTTGGTAGTGGATGAATCGGCATGTATTTTGTTGCACTTGTTGACTTTCCACAGCTTTGATCTTGAACTGGGTTGGAGGATTTTCTGGTTTCCTCCAATTGTTGACTTTCCACAGCTTATTCTTGAACTGGTTTTTTGATTCAAGGGTGGTAGACACTTGATCTTGAATCGGACTTGTGATTTCCTCAAGGGCCGTCGAGGCTTGATCTTGAACTTTGGTTGGAAGCTTCTTCAAGGGCCTTTGAGGCTTGATCTCGAAGGTTGATTCGAACACATGGCAAACAGGCACGAGGTAAAGGTGACAGCCTGTTGCTTTGTTCAATCTTTCTATTTCACACCTGAGCAATTTGGTCAACGGTATGATCTTCAAGATTGATGGGCTATTCTTCCAGTTGGTGACTTGGTCTTTAAGGATTTGATTCAAGGGTGGTGAATCGGCATGTGCAGCCCACAACGCCTAGTAAGTCGACCCAAGAATTTGAGGGTCAAAACGAGTTCACCGTCCAGAGTGATTGCAACCCTGATGATATGAGATACTTTTGATTTTGAAGAAGTAGCGGATGAATCAGCACGTGCTTGGTTGCACTTGTCTCCACATG